GCAGGGCACATCCTGGAATCAAAAGACTGGAAGGAATCGATCGTTGTCCATTAAAGGAAAAATGGATTACTTTTGGCGATGCCCATAACTTACCGTTCGAAGACCATTGCTTTGACATAGGTGAGTTTAAATTCAGGTCTAGTATGACGTTTTCCTATCAGGCTCATTGCCTTTCCCTAGACAATGCGTAGGCATCTTTTCAATGTCTTCAAGCAAAAAAGTCTGCAGGCTCAGAACTAATGTTGTAAACTAACTACCACCTGATTTCTGAAAGCAAACACTGGCAGCAGTAACAGTAATAAGTGAATCATTTCAAAATCAGAACATTAGCAATTGTTATCGTTGATGGCAAAGGTGGACCGCCAATACATTTCGACAAACTCGCTAATAAAAAAACTTGCTTACTGTTTCTAATATCACCATTAATAATTTTATGGGTTTACATAACTGAGGAAACGATACAAGAAACGCAGCATCTATTTTGAAATTTCCAAGAGATGTCATATAAGTACAGTGTAGCATTAAATATCGAATTTCGGAAATGCCTTCAAAGTGATTAATTTCCTATTTTTTCAGTGCTCAATGTTGAATCCTCGCACCTTTACCAGGACTGCGAGCAGTTCTTCCGCGAATGTGCGAGAGTTTTGAGAGAAGGTGGATATTTATGCTGGATTGATTTGCGCTATAAAACACAGGTAAGGCTGAATTTCTTAGCCTAATTTCTCTCGAAACCGCGATTTGATCATTCCACAACTTAACCAAGGTTCAAGACACACGTAGACAAGCAATAACGGCAGGACTTGTAGAGGAACGATGGGACGATATAACAATGAATGTACTGCAAGGAATAAATCGTACAGCAGCGCGCTATGACAGATTGCTCGACAAGGTAATCAATTGTATCATTTCCTCACATGACGACATATATTAATTAAGGTGCCATTCTTCGTTCGCTTATTCTCATCCTCAATACGAGCTACCTATTGCGCCCCAGGAACATACACCTATACAAGATTTCTTAACAATGAAAA